ACACGTCACAGGGTATTTAGATATTCTCCTCAAAAACATATTGTGAATGCTGTACGCAAGTCTTACTTCTACTAAAAAAGTACTTGTATTCATTACAAAATAGGCATCGTTGGCAAAATATCCAACTTTCGTCAGTAGATCTTTTCTTTTTGATATGTAAATCGTGATGCTGGTTTTGGTCAAAAAGAAATTGTGATTGGCAAACTCTCATCAATAAATTTTTTATTGCTTAGGTTTGTTGAAAAATCCTGGATCTATTTCTCATGTTCTGATAAGTTGAGTAAGTGGTCTTTGTGATCGTGAATAGTTCTCACAGCATTTAACATTACCATTAATAAAGTTCAAAATTGAGCAAGCTGACAATTGTGGGCTAAGTTTAGTATTGGCATCAAAAATACCATTGACAAGAAACTCATTCTCATCATTTATCATTATGCTGAATTCAAGATTAGATGCCGAAGAAGATACTATATTACTACTGTCTAGATCGGTATCGGCATTATTTTCCCTTAAAATACTAATATCTTCTCTTTTACCCACTTCTGCAAATTCACGTGCTTTATTAAAGCTAGTATAGTTGAAAAGAAATAGCTTCAATTCTATATCGAAGTCAAAGTTATTTGCCATAATACTATCAGTCATGACACTTTCTGATTCGATAGCCAAGCGTGTGCTTTCGGTATCCTTTTCATATTTTTCTTGCACATATTCGAAACGATTAAGGACCAGTATAGTGATATTATAGAATTTTGGTTGGTTTGTATTCGTTACCATTTAGAAAAAAGGATTCGATAAAAAAAAAAAAGTAAAAAAAGTTCAATTAAAGAAAAAAAATTTTTTAAAAAAAAAGAATCGGAAATATAAAAAACTAATGGCTTAAAAGAACTTCGTTATCGTTATCGTTACGTAAACCTACTATGCTACTACTTATTTAAAAAAAAGAAGAAAGAAAAAACAATTCAAAATTAAATGTAAAAGGTTATAGTTTAGGGTATCACTTTTGAAAAGGTTTATTATAAAAATTTTTTTTCTCTTTTTTTTTTTTGAAAAAAATTCCCATGTTATCATTCTTTAGAAATATCGATATCAATATTTTTCAAAAAATTAGGTGACTTTGACCCAAGATTCTTTTAAAATTAGAAGCGCCACAACACATTAAACAAAGATGGTTCACAAGAGAAAATGCAGAGTTTTAACGTACTTGCAAGATATGATAATGTATTATGTGTCATAAGGATGCCGCCATAGAAGTAAAGTTTGCTTTTACAATGATTTCCTATCGCTATCGCTATAGAAATTGAATGTGGGTGCAGATCCTCACTATTGCGTTTGATGGGACAAAATTAAAAATTTATTTCTCAGAGGTTTAATTCAAATTGAGGTTTAAACTGATAAACTTAAATAATACCTCTGAAATGTAAAATCGGTTCAAAAAATCACTTTTAAATTAGGATTCTTT